ACTGCAGAACTGCAGTCAGCTGAAGTAGCCTGCAGTGCTGCATTTAACCACTGCGCCACCTCGGCTCTTGATGGCTGATGAGATTTTGGGGTCTTTGTGTTTCCTTTTGGGCTCTTTCCATTGTTGCTTTTTAACAGTCTGGAGATGTTGTTATCTCTATGTGCCTGATTTGATCTGCCTGATTTCTTGGAGCGCCAGGATTCTCTAGCATTTAGCCAAAACTACCAAGTCAGACAAACAAGCTAACGGCAAACAACATCCTAAACCAGGAAGCCCCAAGAACCCTCCCACCAACACTAACAAGGGAAGCAAAACCTCCCAGCACTGATGATGTTGCCTAGTTGGGTCAAGAAACATCTGAAAGAAAACCACCAAGCTCAGAGAGCATCAAGGACCCCCACAGTCCTCCCCCTCCTCCTTCCACACGGAGCTACAAATGTTCCCTTTTATCAGTACTGCTGTAGTAGATATACAGAGGTGCGGGGGAGGGAGGGAGGGAGAGAGGGAGGGGGAGAGAGCGAGAGAGACAGACAGACAGACAGACAATATGATAGACCCAAATCAATCTTCTTCAGGATGAAGGGCTTATCTTGTCCCAGTTCAACACAGGGTCTGTGCCCTTCACCCAAACTGAACACACCAAGGGGATTGCAAAAGCAGCTTTGTTCTGCAGACTGAAGGATTCAGATTCTCAAAGTCTACCTGATCCCCACCCACCCCATAATAATGTCCACGGGTGGGTTTTATGCAGAATTAACTAGAAGGTATAGCATCTTTAATGTCACAGGATCACAAATTGTTCTCCATCCTCCCTTATTAATTTCTTTACCCTGTTAGCATAAGTGAAGAGCGAATATGTATATTTATTTATGTAATAAATGGTCAGAGTGCAGCCTTGCAGGCAAATTCTGCCGACTGCTAGCAGTTTGATCCTAACCGGTGCAGGTGGACTCAGCCTTCCGTCCTTCGGAGGTCGGTCGAACTAAGACCCAGATTGTTTGGGCCAAAAGGCAAATAAAGCTTCAACATTGCAAACCTCTCGGAGAGTGATATAAAGCACTATGAGGTGGTATATAAATCTAAGTGCTATTGCTATTACGGGTAGTCCTTGACTTACAACCACAACTGAGCCCAACGTTTCTGTTCTTAAGTGAGACATTTGTTAAGTGAGTTTTTCCCCATTTTATGACCTTTCTTTCCACGGTTGTTAAGTGAACTATACTGCAGTTATTAAGTTAACAAGACGGTTATTAAGTGAATCAATGGCTTCCCCATTGACTCTGCTTGTCAGAAGGTCACAAAAGGCATGATTCTGACACACGGCACCCGTCATAAGTATGAATCAGCTGCCAAGCATCTGAATATTTGATCATGTGACCATGGGATGCTACAACGGTCATAAGTCCCTTTTTTCAGTGCCACTGTAACTTTGAATTGTCACTGCAAGAACTGTTGTAAATCAAGGACTATCCATACTAAGTTTATTCCAACAAAACTGAGCATTATTTTTACAAAGGAACAAAAACATTTTTCCCATTTTAAATATGGAAATCCCAACCAGAGGTGGGTTGGTTACCAGTTCACACTGGTTCAGGGGAACCGGCAGAGGCAATCTGGCCTTGGTTTCAAAACTGGCAGCCACCCAGGCTGGCCACGCCCCAGAACTGGTTCCCCAGTGTTTTTTAGTAATTTTTTTCATGTTCTGCGCATGTGCAGAACAAATTCCGTCAACTGTGTGCACATGCATAGCGAACTGGCAGCAACGCCGGCAGCAACCCACCCCTGACCCCAACTTTCAGTGTTGAAAACGGGGCCCACATCCTGGGGTCCAGCTGGATCTTTTCAAAAAAGAGGGGAGAAAAGTAGAGAAAATGAAGGTCTGCAGACAGAGCAGCAGATGGCGCTGTTTCACCACCAATGGAGAGCTCCTGTTAACGGAGGCCAGGCGGTGAATCTCGGAGACACACAGAGACTCATCAGAAACCCCTGGCGGGAAACAAACACAGGACAGAAGCCAAAAACCTGGACCGAATCCTTGGCCCGGGGTTTTTTTCTTCTCCTACCCAAAGCTGCCCGAAAGGAGGATGGCTTTGCTTCCCTCCCCTGCCCCATCCAGCCTCTTGGGGAGTCCCCAGAAGCTCCTCCTGTGCCAGCCTCAGGGGGCACCGAAAGGCCCAGAGTTGGCAGGGGAAGCTCCCGGATGCCCGAGCCTGGACAGCTCCAACATGTTGCCCTCCCCCATGGGAAGAACTTATAGATGTTTCTGACTGAGAGAAAGATTGGATAGGAAATCATGTTAACTAACCCATGTTCCCCCCAAAAAAGCTACTGATTAACAGCCTCTGAAATCCTTTAAACGTACAGCAAACATAAGAATTAAACGCTTATTTTAAATTGTGAGCCCCCACAAGCAAACAGGCAAAGCTCAGTTAGCACAAGGTAGACATAATTATAACGCTCACAGTTCAGAGATCCAATCCACACCCCCTGATTTAATCCGTTTCTTCTGCAGATCAACATGCACACCCACCCCTCAAGGGTCACCCAGGAAGCAGCCTGCACACATAACCCTCGAGCCCCACACCAAGGACAGACGGACGGACACACACACACACACACCATCAAACAGTCCTTTTGCCCATCACTTCCTCCACGGGAAACCTCTTTGCTTTGGGGAATGAATAATGCTCCTTTCCTCACAGCAGCCTGGATTTCTTTTTTATTTGTTCCTGAACAGCCCGGGCTCGAGTTATAATCCCCCCCCCCCCAAAGACAGCATTGGGTGTCCTTCTTCAGTCTCCCAGAGGAATAGGAATAGGAATAAGGAATAAGTTTATTTATAGGCCGCCCTTTTCCCTGAGGGGACTCAGGGTGGCTAACAACTTATAGGGAGGGGATACAAACAGTAACATATAACATAATACATAATTAAAAAATAAACAACATTCATTCAGCATTCGGGTGGGGGCGAATCAAATCTTTACCCCCATGCCTGGCGGGATACCCAGCTCTTGAGGGCTGTGCGGTAGGT